CTTAAGTGTATATAGGTACAACAAATAAAAATAACCATCAGCTGCATTATTGCAATTCCACTAGATAAAAAAATAGCATAGAAATTCCTGCTTTAAGATTAAATAAAACAAGGACTGGTGTAAATCATATTGGTATTAAATTGTACTACGCTCTGCCCCTACACATGAAAGAATTAGACTGCACCAATTCATTTAGTAAATGTTTAAAGAAGCACCTACATTTAAATTATAAGTTTAACTGGCTTTAAAATTGTGTAATATATAGTCTTTTTAGTTTATATCCTGTATACAGGGTGGTGCACGGTAAGTAGAAACATAGGGAAATTAGTTTTATGCAAAATCCTGCCCTCCTGTACATTTTACAGAAAAGACTGTAGAGTTTAAAGTTGATCAGAATTAAAAGGTGCATACAAAACTGTATTTACGTGAAATTGTATAATGACTAACGACATTCAATAACAAGAACACAACTTATACCTACCATCATTCCATTGATACCTAAATATAGTTGAATATTGCCTTTTTGTTCACTAGGGAATGCAATACCGGGATTGCGGGATCCCGAAATACCGGGATCCCACAGCATTTTTGCGAGATTAATCCCGCACATAAATGGAACGGGATCCCGCAGGATTTGCAGGACTGAGGAATTTGTCGACCAAGGGGACGACTCTGTTTACTTTGTTAATGAAACTGATAACGGCGAATTATTTTTCAAATAATTGTTAAACTTTTTTCGTTAAAAATGTACTATGATTTTTGAGGCACTTTAGAAGTCTTTTTGTGCTTTACAGGTAAGGTTTTTTTTAGGTTCTAAGTTAGGCCGAAGGTACTTTTTTGTTAAATATTGTGATAATTAGCGATTTATTTTAATACAGAAGTTAACCGCACAGAATTGCTTATTTGCCAATTTATTTAAAGTTTTGCGAGATCCCGCAAATACCGGGATCCCGCGGGATTAAATCTAACAATCCCGCAAATACCGGGATTGAGATTTTGCTGCGGAATTGCATTCCGTACTAGAAACCAATTTCGAAAGAAAATTCAAAGGGCTGTAACTTTTGAACTAGTAGCCCAATCTTGGAACTGTTTGAAATTATGAATTCTACAGGCCACGTTATATAAGAAAATTTTTTTTCCGGGTCGATCTGAGACAATTTTTTTTCGGGCCTCAAAAAAAAGGCAGTGTACAACCTTCCTTTTTTACCAAAAATCGACTGCACCAAAATTTCTCGGGAAAACACTTTTTCTTATTAATTTTGGTGCGCAGAATCCAAAACAATTCGTACTTTTTCGATCAGACTTCTCAATCAAACGTTATAGACTAGAACAGAAACCAATTTCGAAAGAAAATTCAAAGGGCTGTAACTTTTGAACTAGTAGCCCAATCTTGGAACTGTTTGAAATTATGGATTCTACAGGCCACATTCTATAAGAAAAATTTTTTCCGGGTCGATCTGAGACAATTTTTTTTTCGGGGCTCAAAAAAAGGCAGTGTATAACCTTCCTTTTTTACCAAAAATCGACTACAGCAAAATTTCTCGGGAAAACACTTTTTCTTATTAATTTGGGTGCGTAGAATCCAAATCAATTCGTACTTTTTCGATCAGACTTCTCCATCAAAAGTTATAGACTAGAAACCAATTTCGAAAAAAAATTCAAAGGGCTGTAACTTTTGAACTAGTAGCCCAATCTTGGAACTGTTTGAAATTATGGATTCTACAGGCCACATCCTATAAGAAAATTTTTTTTTCCGAGTCGATCTGAGACAATTTTTCTGAGGGCCTCAAAAAAGACAGTGTACAACCTTCCTTTTTTACCAAAAATCAACTGCTCCAAAATTTCTCGGGAAAACACTTTTTCTTATTAATTTTGGTGCGTAGAATCCAAAACAATTCGTACTTTTTCGATCAGACTTCTTAATCAAAAGTTATAGACTAGAAAAGAAACCAATTTCGAAAGATAATTCAAAGGGCTGTAACTTTTGAACTAGTAGCCCAATCTTGGAACTGTTTGAAATTATGGATTCTACAGGCCACATTCTATAAGAAAATTTTTTTCCGGGTCGATCTGAGACAATTTTTTTTCGGGCCTCAAAAAAAGGCAGTGTATAACCTTCCTTTTTTACCAAAACTCGACTACACCAAAATTTCTCGGGAAAACACTTTTTCTTATTAATTTTGGTGCGTAGAATCCAACACAATTCGTACTTTTTCGATCAGACTTCTCAATCAAAAGTTATAGACTAGAAACCAATTTCGAAAAAAAATTCAAAGGGCTGTAACTTTTGAACTAGTAGCCCAATCTTGGAAGTGTTTGAAATTATGGATTCTACAGGCCACATTCTATAAGAAAATTTTTTTTCCGGGTCGATCTGAGACAATTTTTTCTGAGGGCCTCAAAAAAGACAGTGTACAACCTTCCTTTTTTACCGAAAATCAACTGCACCAAAATTTCTCGGGAAAACACTTTTTCTTATTAATTTTGGTGCGTAGAATCCAAAACAATTCGTACTTTTTCGATTAGACGTCTCAGTCTGATCAAATGTTATAGACTAGGAACTAGGGAATGCAATACCCGGATTGCGGGATCCCGAAATACCGGGATCCCGCAGCATTTTTGCGAGATTAATCCCGCACATAAATGGAGCGGGATCCCGCGGGATTTGCGGGACTGAGGAATTTGTCGACCAAGGGGACGACTCTGTTTACTTTGTTAATGAAACTGATAACGGCGAATTATTTTTTAAATAATTGTTAAACTTTTTTCGTTAAAAATGTACTATGATTTTTGAGGCACTTTAGAAGACTTTTTGTGCTTTACAGGTAAAGTTTTTTTGAGTTCTAAGTTAGGCCGAAGGTACTTTTTTGTTAAATATTGTGATAATTAGCGATTTATTTTAATACAGAAGTTAACTGCACAGAATTGCTTATTTGCCAATTTATTTAAAGTTTTGCAAGATCCCGCAAGTACCGGGATCCCGCGGGATTAACATCTAACAATCCCGCAAATACCGGGATTGAGATTTTGCTGCGGGATTGCATTCCCTAGTGCAGACACAGCATCGGTCATGTCAAAATTCCCATTAAACATTTTGAGGGTTGTATAGTCCGCGCAATATTTCATACAACCCCGGAAACTGAAGAGTTAAAGCAATTCTAATTTTCATTTTATAAATGCATGACGTGCACAATGCAATTACAGTGTGATAAAATAGAAATGATGGCTCTATTAAAGCCACATGTCACAACATTTTTAAATGCAAATATATCTTAGTGGTATAGGTTCATTACGACAGTAATAGATGCACTTACCTGAAGGATGTTAATCCCCATAGATTTAAAATATTCTGTAAGAGGACCAGTTGTATAGAAGCTTATTTCCACTGAATGCCACTACTTGGCTGAAATCAAAACCAAACACAGTGCAAGGGGTGGAAAAAGCATTTACATTTATACTGTATGATTCGCTTAAGCCTCTATTACACGCGCGCTGCCATTTTTGGAATGAATTAATATTGATGGTGGCAAACACATTTATATCCTTTATGGCCGTCTACTAATCTGAGGCAAAATAAAGACAATTGACGACGATTTATCTTTCTCCATTTTCTCTTACTCATTCTGTTTATTTCGGGGATTTCGGTGATTGAAGGTAAGTGTATTTTTCTATCTAATGCGTGAAGGGAAGACAAATTCGATATTACCCCTTCTGTAAGAAAAACGATGAGATACATTAGTTTATTCCTTCCTCCACCATACGAAAGCTTCGATTGAAAGTACACACTATACTCGCAAATTTTATTCAAAGATTTTTTAACGCAATTATTCCTTGTGCTTGGTTAAAAGTAAATGTCTAATTAACGACTAGGACTAGGTACAATAACTTGCACCGTTGGGATACGTATAATTTAGCCAGGGGGTGGACCTGTCTAGAACGTGAGTAGAAATCAATCCTCCACTTTTTATGCGGTAAATTTGAATTTGTGCGGGAGATTTGAATTTTCGAATTTCCGGATGTCGGGCATTTTGTAGCGGTAAGTTTGAATTTGTGCGGGAGATTTGAACTTTGGAATTTCACAATAATTACAGCCCTCGCAATAGGTGGATTGCTTTGAAAAAGTGCCTTTCTGAACAATTTGTATTTTTTCAAATGGGAATGGGGTATACTTTAAAAGCATTTAATACAAGTTAAAAGGTCATTATGCAAACATAAATGACGAGAGCGTATTTTCCTCCTTATAATATGAATGCTAGGACCGGAAAAAATACTGGTAGGTACGAGATCCTTACCCCACTCTCTTTCAAATGAGTCGCATATCGTCCAAGTCTATATATAATGTGTCAGATTTGTCTTTATTCCAAATGGCTATGTATAAGATTTCATTTAAATGCTTTCATAAATAAGAAAGTTGGCATTGCGCATGCGCAAAACAACATTTTGTTAAGGTCGTTAATTTTACTTAGGTATATTCGTAATGTTTACATACAAAGTTTCATTTAAATATCTGCATAAATAAAAAAGTTAGCCTTGCACATGCGTTATACCAAATTTTTGACACCGCGCATGCGCAAAACCAAAAAATATCGGTATGCACGGAATCCTTGGAAAAGCCCTTTATTGCCCAAATCGGTTCAGTGGTGTAGAAGGAGTACGTGTGACGGACGGACGGACGACAAAGTGCAGCCAATAGCGATTTTTCACTTTGAGGAAAATACGCTAATAATACTTTCTCACATGGTACAATCGCCGCTTTTCGTTTACCTATCATTTTATTCACTTCATCCCAAGGTTTAAAAAGCGGGGTTCGATAAACTTTACTTATCTGGAGGTATTTCCATTTGGTTTCAGATTTTGTTGGTTTGGTGATCGGAATGTTCAAATAAAAAAAAGAGAAAGAGGTGGAACATGCGGATTAGCACGTTTTTTTTGGGTTTGGAATGAAATGAACTGTCATAATTTTTAAATATTCGTTGATTGCCCCATTCAACTTGTTAGCAATGGTTTGGATTTGTTTCCGAAGGGAGTGTTTCGCGTTAATTAATTTATGTGCAGTGGCGAAAATATCAAAGGAGGTATTGTATTTCATTTTCTCAAATTTGCATTATAATAAATAATCGTGTCGGTTCTCCTCAATTATAGTGACATTTGGCAAGGAATGACATAACTCTAAAGTTTGAGTGCGTGATACGAATACATGTTGTTAATTAGACTTTTAATGTGCAATTTTAGACGCGTTTAAAATAGAAAAGGGAACGAATTATAAAGGGAATTACTATTCATTGCTTTTATGAGTAATATCTATGATTAAATTCGCGAACGCAGTACGATTTCACGATTCGTAGTAATGTTAGGGTGTTGCATAGAACAATGGTCTAATTAATTATTTTAATAATCATTGGGCACCACCACTGAAACGATCCATTTTACTTACACCTTTCCCAAAAATTTACTTATTCTATTGCACGTACAGGTCAAGTTAAATTACTAAACTAAATGAAACATAACTCATGGTTTGGATTAAGAGGGCGACGTTTTGAGTATAGAAAGCTTAAGGGATAAAGTAACGCACTATGTGGAAGATCGAGTACGTCCGCTATATACACATTTTTTGTTTCAGGTGGCTCTTTGTGATGATTATAGTTTACCGGTAGATCATCTTAACAAAAGGAGGCCTAATAGTATTGCAGCTCCTAGTCTTTCAGAATGGAACGTATCCAGTCCAAATGAAGAAAAAGTAAGTAATTTTTGTTAAACATTAAGCTTTGGCTGTAACTGCCTTTTCCAGCAGTTGCATTCATACATAATTTTCACTCGTTTCTTATTTCCCTATTCGAACAGTAGGTACATCATAGCTCACAGATAATTGAAATTGAATTGAAACTTGACACTTGATTGATACACTCGTAGCACTGTTGTAATCAAAATTGACCTTGTAAATGACAATTTTTTGCTTAAAAATTTCATCATTTCAATAAACTCGGGAAAAACATGGTTTACCTAAACAAGAAACCCTAACAGGGGGCTTTCGGTGCCAAAGTGAATCCGAGAACGCACAAACTCATGGTCGGCTCGTCGGTCTACTAGGATCAATCACATCACATCAATTACTTGAAAAAGAAAAACTGTTACCAGTAAAAACGGGCCTCAGAACTTCGTAGATGGGGACGGTTGTGTAATTGGGTGTCATGTTACCCTGTTGGAGTTTAAAAGTTAATGTACTTATTTGCTTTTGCTGTTAAAAAAAGCAAAATAATCAGAAAGTAATTGAAATGAATGCGAATGGATTAAAAGGTTAAAACTGTTTGAAGGTGTTTACTTGCATCTTCCATTTTACCCCTGGTTTTGCTAATCACGACCAAACAAAATAAGAATAACAACAAATTTTCTGGAGCAAGAAATCTTACAAAATACGTCAAAAGTTTGTGTGCTTTCATCTTTTTCTGCTCATGAATGCCAGATCATTAGAAGGTAATCGGTATCATAACATATACATATGTATGGTAATACAAAATGTCGACACAGACGAATAAAACAAAAAAAGTGGATTTTTTAGCTTGATGTAGGTACACTACATTCAAATTTTGAATTAAAAAAAACTTATGTATTAGGACATTTTTCGAATTGTCTATTGAGTCTGCATTGTAAATCGATTTTTTAGTAAATGAATATATATGAAAGGTATAAGTAAACTAAGAAAGATATAGATAGAAGCTGATTCATCTGGAAATTGATCGAGAAGGTAGTTATAAAATTGCTTTATAAATAGTACAATGGCATCAAAATATTGTTATAGATAAGGAGCCAGTCTCCCCAACAGGGACCTGTAACGGTAGCTCTAAATTTGCATTTAAGTTTTTTCGAAATTTCTTTGTCAAGTTAGATACCTTGAAATTTCTAAGGTAGAGCAAGTAAGGCATTGTATGTCATAGAAATTCTATAGGGTGTTGAAGTTTACTGGGCCAATTTTCCAGTGAATTGTTTGACTAATGGAATTGTATCTTTTCAGTAACGTAGAATTTCTGTAGAGCATTGTTATGTTAATGGATTCCAGATGTCAGGGATTTGGACCATATTCAGTTATCTTAATTAGGACTATTTGGTTACAACTGCGAATTCAGAATGAGGTCAGTTTAGCGTTGTGGAAACTGCAGCGTCGCATATATGTTGGTTAAATGGACGATTTGATTTATTTCTCTGACTTTTATTTGATTCGTAGAGCGATTAGGGGATTTAATTTAGTGGTTGGAATATGTAACTCTGAAATATGCATAAGCGCCCGTAGTTAAACCCATATCTAAAACCCGTTAATGACAAACTTTAACGTTAATAAAAGGAGTGCTTGCAATAAATAAACAACAGGATAAATAATAAAAACTACACCCTAGAACTGTAGATTTCGTCGAAGGTTTTTTTACACCCGCGCTTCTGGATTATTTATCATTTATAACATTTATTTATTATGTCAAATCGTCATAATTTATGATTTAAAGTTTAAAGTACTCGAAAAATTAGGAGCTGTGATTTCTCCAGTAGGCAAATTTCAAGCCGTTTATTTTGCAAGTACTTTTATCGTTTATGAACCCTTAAAGAATTGGATTTTATCAGAAAAATCAGCGCCGAGTTTCAAATAAATTGGTTATAGTTCAAGATAGAAATTTTTCAAGTTTACGTGTCCATCGTGACTATTTATAAGGTAAATTGTGCATTAAAAATCGTTCTATATATTGCATTACCTTCAAATTCAAATTAAGGTTATTCATACTAACCCGTGGCCACGAATTTGATCTAGTTATTTTGAAATTTATATTGGGAATTGTCTCTCTAAGAATTGGAACCAGCTCATTATTTAAAATTTTTAATATATACAAAACTTTATGGTCATTTGGCGTTTAATTTTGCAAGCCAGCAATTTTTCGAAATTTAAAAGTTTGAAGCGAAATCGAGGAAAAGAGAAATTTCTTGTAAGTATGTAACCGTAAATCTCAGGAACTAGTTCATAGAAGGGAGGCACAACCCTCTTATATGCACCCCCACGACAAACATAATAAACATTTTGGCCATTTACAACACCAGAAGTTTATTTTGCAATTTTTTACTGAATGGGAGAACAGATCAAAAGTGAGTCGGAATTCAGACCTTTGATAGCATAACCATACTGCAAGTACTAAGAGCAGTAATAAGACGTTACCTGACCAGTAATGCCTTATGCCTAAATACCGAAGTCCACAAATCATTTAAATCTTGAATACACGCACTTTCTTAGAATCGTAAGGCATGAAAGGTATAATCCAAACTTCCTTGAGAAAACTTTAAACCTTTAGGAAATTAAGGAATTTTGGTTTTGGGACGTACAAAGACTAATATAACTTGCCCTTTGAAATATTATAATTGTAAGCATGTGTAAGTACCTATTGGGCAAATGGGCGTTTTATTTTTCGGAGCAAGAAATTAAATTTTCCTGTTAAATATTATCATCGTCGGTCTCTATACTTCAAAATCCTACTTTCTTATAGAGAGAGTGGAGGTGCGAGTTAAAATAATTTCACACTAGAACTCGTATCCCTCCCATTCCTTCAATATTACTTACTTAGATAATTTGAAAAATGCATATTTGCCCCTTCGGCATTGTGCTCGTTTTTCCATTTAAATTGGGACACATGAAGTTCAATTTTTAAATATTCCTGTCAACAGTGAATTGCAACCTATATTTTGTAATCGCAACCGCATTTCAGAGCTTATATGTGACGCATTCAACCTGTTCGGCTTCCATCAATTCGACTCAATCAACAACCGGGTGAATGACAATATCCTTGATCTAGTCTTTTCTAACTGTGATACTTCCGTTTCTAACTGTGATATTAATTTAGTTAACTGTGATTCCTACCACCCAGCACTTAGTGTAGCGCTTCACACCCACCAAGGTTTCTTCAAGTGTGATGACTCGAATCAACAACCAGTCTACAAATTCAATTTCTCGAAGGCTCCTTATGATCAAATCAATGACTACATTCGTTCCGTGGACTGGCATTCACTATTTTTCAATGGAGATTTGGAATCAAATGTTGAAAACTTTTACACAGTCATCTACGACATTTTAAATGTATGTGTTCCAAAAATTAAATGTTTTAAATCAACGTACCCGCCATGGTTTAGTAGTAAACTACATAAGCTGATTAGGGATAAGAAGCTTGCCCACAAAACATATAAAGCATCTAAGAGCAACATCGATTATCAAGTTTTTACCGAGTTGCGAACTCAGTGTAAATCCTTGACCACACAGTGCTATGACACCTTTATTAAAACCTGTGAAGAAAATGTTACTTTAAATCCGAAGTCGTTCTGGAAATTTTATCATAATATGAACAAAACTTCTATTATCCCTCCTTTGATGATAAAAGATGATGAGTCCACATCTGACCGTCGTGAAATTGCCAATCATTTTGCCAAACACTTTTCTACAGCTTTCGTGGAGGGCCGCATTCACGAAAATTCGTTCTCCACGACCAGTGAAATCGCGCTCGCTCAGTTCAAAATAACGGCTGAGGAGGTTTTTGGCGGTCTATCAGCTATTGATGAATTTGGAAGCACAGGACCGGATGAAATTCCACCAAAATTTCTCAAGAACTGTGCTCAATCAATATTCCGACCATTGTTCCTTTTATTTTCATCTTCGTTGGAGAAAAGTGTTTTTCCGAGTGCCTGGAAGAATTTGAAAATTACACCGATTTTCAAGAATGGAATCAAGCCCGATTACAATAACTACAGACCAATATCCATCCAGTCGGCTATACCGAAACTTTTCGAATCCATAGTTGTCCGGCAGTTCACCCAGGCCTTCTCGCAAGTGTTATCGGTTAATCAACATGGTTTTACAAAAGGAAGATCCGTGGAAACAAACCTGTTTCTATACTTGAACCGGATTTTTGGTTCTCTTGATCAAGGTATTGAAGTGCACTCGATCTACACAGATTTTTCCAAAGCATTTGACCGGGTTAACCACAAATTGCTGATATTCAAGCTAAAAAAGTACGGTCTAGGTAACCAAGCAGTGAAATGGTTGGAAAGCTACTTAGCTGGTCGTAAAGCACGAGTCCAAATCGATAGGTCTGGACCACAGCATACGTCAACGACAATCGGTGCTGACGAAAGACTACCTATTGGATGTGCTGATCCTTCAACTGGTCGATTTGCAACTGCAAATGTTGTTCAATTTGTTTTTCGAAGAAATCATCGCCTTCTGTTCCGCTCTACCATCTTTGTGGTCAAGAACTTCAACATATGGGCATCATCAAGGACCTGGGGGTAGTACTTGACACAAAATTGAATTTCCAGCATCACTACGATCATGTTATTTCGAAGGCTAGCAAAATGGTTGGCTCATTCGTCGCCAATTCAAGGATTTCTTCAACATAACCGCACTGAGGACTTTATACTTCTCCCTGGTTAGGTCGCATCTGGACTATTGCTGCACGATCTGGTCACCATACTACTTAACTCACGTCAATCGGTTGGAAAAGATACAGAACAATTTTCTTCGCCTTATAAAGTACAAATTCCTTCTTCATGGAATCATATTGGATCGCACTGAAAATGTCCGATTTTACTTGGGAATACTGACTCTTAAACAGAGGAGAAATTTACTTACCGCATGTTTTGGTTTCAAACTACTAAATGGTCACCTAAACTGCCCGGATATTTTATCCACTATTAATTTAAACGTACCCCAACGATTTGTTCGTTCGGCTCGACTTCTACATGCACGACAATGCCGAACGCTATACTTCCAAAACAGCCCTTTAAACCGCATGGTTGACCTGATCAACAGCTTACATCTGAAAATCGATTTCTTCGGACTGCCACTAGCCGCCTTCAAACGTACTGGAAATTCACTGTTGATCCAATAAACAAGTTTTTCGCTATCTCTCCTACACGTCGATCTTGTCCTTCGTTTTATTGATTTATGTTGTGTATTTTATTGTGTATCACTATAATTTTAATTTGTATGCAAAATGCCTTGTAGCGTTAATAAAATTATTATTATTATTATTATTATATATCACGAATGTATTTGAATGTTTCAATAATGGAAACGGTGCATCAATTATATCATTTTGTATTTTTTGTCAGCCCTGCTTTGTTCATGTACGGAGTGAATGTCGAAAATAGAATTTAAACATCTTTATACTCTTCGTTAAGGTTTCGGGGGACAGCGACGTTACGAACGAATTTTTTCGCCCCAAAGACTTTGCTTAATAATAATTGTTATAATTCGGAATGAAATAGTAGTTCAAGTTTAACTGTTTATGTATAGGTATGTTTTCTTTTATGTATAAGGATTTAATCTTGCAAGGAATGAAATCGTATCGCTTAATATCGACGAAATTGATTTCATTGTAAGGATTTCAAAGGTTCAATTGGCAACTTTGTAAGGCTACTTTATCTACAATTCTTTTCCAACTCTCGAGTCTTGTTCCAAATCCGAATTGTGGCATGATGATGGATCGCTCGAGTCATATGAAACTGTATGCACTCTGAAACATGAAAAGTGCACACAACATGCGATGATAGATTAAGTTGTTGGAATCCGAAACTTTTCATGTATTAAATCATTCTAACGGACCATAATTTATTCGAAGAGTTTATTTTTATTGGCCGGCCAACCGAATGTCGTTCCTTCCATTAAAGCGGTGAAATGAGATACAGTTGTTAAGTAGAAAACTTTCGGAATGCATTATAATAATATTTCCCTGATGAAACTTTACCTTTGTGTGCTGCGAGCCGTTTTTACTTTACGCTTAGTTAGTTTCTGTACATTTTGCTATTGTATACATCAACATCAAAGAAATCAATTTAGTACGTATTCAAAATAGGAACTGGCGCGTACAATTTTGGTTATTCCATTAGCGCGTTATACAAAATTATGCAATTAAGTTTTGATCGTTCTATTTCGAAGTACGAAGTTAATGGCCAAAGTACATTTATTATGACTTAACAAATACAAAGCGTTGCGCAAGGACTCGTTTTCGATTTTCCTAAAGGAATTCCAATTAGGGCTGCCAAAGGGGCTCCGAAGCTATTTTAACCAAAATTCCGTTCGAAGATTTCACTTGTATTCACGTAAAGTTTAACAATTTACATTGATTTAACTCCCTGAATTAAATGCGATTGCTTCCTATGCCGGTCAAGTCTGAGCAATAAATATCATGCAAGGGGCTAAACACCGAGGGTTGTTCTTTCATGTATAGAATTACCCAGCATAAATGGCGAAATGGAAACGCATACATTTTAAACTAACACGGCAAGAATGTAAAATTGACTTTAACGTTGCATTCCTACAATTATCGTTTAAGCGTAATACCGCATCCATAGGTAATGCATTTAGTTAGAGCATAAATTAGCAAAATGAAGAAGTAAGATCAGTAACAACAGGAATAATTTAAATAATATGCTTTGGGATTTATGTGAAGACACGAAGCAATAGATATTCAACGTTTTTCCGCCTGTTCTCGCGTTGTACCTACCTATTAGTGAAGAGTTAGGTACCCTTCAACATTTTAAGTCCTTAAACTTACCTTTGCAATTGTTTGTTAATCTTATATAGTGTCCTTTTAATTTTTGTAGTTGTTTAGAGACTTTATTGTTTTTCGGTATGTGTTCAATAGCTATTTTTAATTTTGGTTTTCAATGTATACCTATAACCGCAATTATTATTACTAATAGAGTGAGAGTTTCAATGCTTTCTCGACATTCACCTGGCAACAGCAGTCATAATTTTGTAAAAATGTGTTTAAATAAGCGACCAAAAGAATATTTAAATTACACAAATAATGCAATTTTTTAAATCTTGTTTTTACCACGTAAAAACATTAGGTAGTGGGGCTGTTTTTCTTAATAAAAAATGTTATATTCATTCAGGAAGGATTTGGTGGGAATATCGAATTGTTCCGTTTTATTATTGGGAACAAAGAATCCACGAATGGTAGATGAAACCACTGCATCGCATCCACTTACATCCAACTTTGTTTAATATGGTTAATTGTCCATATGTCAGTTTTAAATCTGTCAAATATGCGTACATTGAATGGCTTTATCCAAAACATTGTTATTTTCAGAAAAAATATTATTTTTTATTTTTTTTTGTCCCTCCATTTCAGAAAACCTCCCGTGAAAGTATTCCCCCTGTGGGTTCGGGGTTAGAATTGGCCCACTCCCGTCCTGGGGATCGTAAAAGGCGATCAATGGGCAGAGGAGGCAGCGAGTCCAACCGCCTCTTCTTAGATTCCGACCACACATCCTTCCATCCTAAACACCTTTCGATCGTCTCCCAATTATCCCGAAATCCTAAGGTGAGAGCGTGCGCGAACGCTCACGCAAAAGGGGGACTGATATTCTACGTGTTTGATGAAAACGCGGGCCCTAGCTGGTTACCTTACCTAAAAAAGGCGTGTGGCCCCTGAGACAAAGGGGTATTTATGGTGATGCAATTTATAGAGTAACAGGAGAAACAAAAAACTGAAATAAAACTAAAATTGGATTGATAATTGAGACAGTATCAAGACAACCGACTGAAGTTTTGACGAAAATGAAAGAAATTGGTGATATTGAAATAAAAGTAGAACCACACAGAATGCTAAACATTTACAAAGGAGTACGATGATCGTATGTACGTATGATCTAAGGGTTCGTTCCTATATTTCGGAACCTATGAAGTGTTTTAGGTGTCAAAAATGTGGCCACACATCTCGATGTAGCAGGTCCGCCAGTGTAGAAAACTGCTACATGAAGCAAAAGAATGTGAAGAACTGATTGAATGTGTAAACTATGGTGGAAATCATCTAGCGCAATCGAGAGAGTGCCCAGTGACCAAAATAGAAAAGATAGCGCAAGAGATCAAAGTAGCACACAAAGATGGTTTTATATAAACAAGGCCAATGGCCAAGTCTTCCATTACAACATCTCAAAATGGGGTAACAAAATGACCCCCATGCGATCAAAAATTAGTTGTTGTCGAGTTACCTTTGGAATTTTTGTTTACGTGGTAAATCGTACTTAACTTGAATTTCCAAGGGCGATTCGACAGCAACTCATAATATAGCACAGTAGAATACCTATACCAGCAAATGAACAGATTGTAACTAAAATGTCGAAAAGTACCTATATACTGCCTGAAATGAACACAGTGGTTGCCAATGAAATTAAAAAACTACAGATAGATATGTCGATGAAATCGCCAGAAAAGCAAAGACTATTGTTTAGAGAACAATTAGGACCTAATTATACCAACTATAGACAAATTTATACAGATGTGTTTCGCACGGATCAAGGTGTTGGTGGCACTGTGTATACTAAGGAGCTGTCACTGAGTTGGCCCTTATCACGGGGGGGTCACAGTATTCATGGCGGAACAGATTGCGGTATACAAGGCTTTACAGTTAGTGTAGGAACTACTGGACAACGAATTCGTCTTATGCTCGGATTCGAAAAGTGCACTTGACGCAGTAAGTGTATATAACTCGAAGGACGAGCTTTTCAAATTAATTATGATTTGGAAGTGATAAGAAGGAACAGAAAACGTTGGATTTTTTGTGGATGTGTGAAGGTGGACTATGGTGAAATGGTACTGGGAACAACCTACTGTATGTATCCAGACAGGAGCTTCATAGAAGGGACGAAGTGGTCATTAGCAGGATAAGAATCGGGCACATACATATAACGAATGGACATTTACTAGTTGGAAATCCCGCTCCGCAATGTCCAAAGTGTGGGGAAAGATGCCCTCACAGTCGAGCGCATTCTTCGGTACTGCTCTGAAACGAGAGCTTTAGAAAAAGGAATAAACAACATATACAAGAACTATGCCAGGAAAAAAAGAAATGAGAGCTTATTAAGGAGTGAATATCTACAGACATAAAAGTTGAGAAAGGGTAGAAGAAATGGATATGTACTTATCTAAGTCAAATGAAGATAGTCATTGAATACTTACCTGAATCGCTAATAACTCTATCAGCTGATGCGGTTTGTCAAAAAAGGGGAAAAAATCCATAGCAATCTA